CGGGCCAAATGATGAGGCCTATCCCCATCCATCACCCACCCCACCTCCAAAACCAGCATCACCACCGCCATCCCTAGACCCAACTAACCTCATCCCCCCTCCTCCTCCGGTGAATCCAACCAACCATTTATATGCTTCTTATGTTTTTATATTTTGATTCTTTATTTCGTTTTTAAATTTTGTTTTTCTATGCTTCTTCAAACCACCACCGTCACTTTCACATCACCTGAAATGGCGCCGGCGTCAACTCTACGCTTGGGTTTTCTTGTTTATGTTGCAGTGGTGGCTGGGTTTTCTTTGTACTGTTTAAGTGGTGGTTGGAATCGGGATTAATGGTGGTTATGTGGAGGTTTCTGTTTCAATTTAAAAGGTTGGGACCATGAATATTTATGAGGTTACTATTCATGGCTGGGTCGGTATGCATATTCTATGAAAGTGGTTATTGTTTGCTGGGGATAGGGATGTGCAGAGAGGGAGGTTGACTGGGGATGGGGATGGCTGGGTTGGGGCGACGGTTAAGGGGTGGGGTTAGAGCATCCACAGTGGGGATGTAAATTCGGGAGTGTAAAGTCACTTTTACATCTCCTTTATATTTCTAGGGGTGTACATATATTTTTTGCTTCAATAGGGGGTGTCAATTCGGGGGTGTAACCGTGGGTCCCAGCCTTTTATGTTGACTTTTCTTTATTTTTCTTCTCTTTTCTCTAGTGAGTCCCGTCTGCAAGGAATGTAAAAATAGATATAAATATACATTTTATTTTACACCCCTATGGCGGTGATGTATATTTACATATATTTACATCTCCCTATTGAAGACTATTCCAGTGATTCGGGATGTATATTTAACATACACCCTTATATACACCATCCACTGTGGATGCTCTTAAGAGGGCATGGAGTTAGCTTTTATTTTTTATTTTTATATATTTGATTTTAATGTTTTAAAATTATTTTTATAGAAAATAATAATTTATTGACTGAATTGCCCCTTCACCACTAACAGAAATTAAACAAATTTGACAAAAATTGAGAATTGTACTTCAAATTGAAACTACAGGGACAAGATTAACAAAATTGAAATGACAGGACCAAAGTGGTAAGAGCGACAAATTACAGGAACCAAAAGTGACCTTTTGTCTAATTATAAGGGTCAGTTTGGAATTACTATCATTTTTTTTTTTAAAAATTGCTTCTACTGTGCTATGAAATTAATTAGCTGTAAAGTAAAGCAGCTCCATATTTGATAAATAATATTTTTAAAGTGCTTTTAGTACAAAAAATAGTATTAAAACTATTTGGTAAATTTTAGTATAAAACTGTTGTAATTGTGAATAATGATTAAAATAGACATGATATTGAAAGTGTTATGCACTAATCATATGGTGGTAGTGATGGTGGTAGTGGTGGTGGTGGTGGAGGTGATGGTGAAAGACATGGAGATGAAGGTGGTGGTGAAAGAGGTGGTGGTGGTGGTGATGAAAATGTAGGTTGTGATAATAGTGGCGGTGATGGTGGCAATGGTTAAGAAGGAGGTGGTGATGGTCGCAATGGTGGCGTGGTGGTGGTGGAGGTGGTGATGAAAATGGAGGTTGTGGTAACGGTGGTGGTGGTGGTGATGGTGGCGATTGTTAAGGAGGTGGTGATGGTCGCAGTGGTGGAGGTGGAGGAGGAAGTGGTGGTAGTGGTGGTAGTAGTAGTAGTGGTGGTGATGGTGGTGACAGTGGTGGCGGTGGTGTGATGGTGAAGTTGATGGTGGAGGTGGTGAAGTTGGATGTGGAGTGGAGGTGGTGTCATTTTTAAAAATTAATGATGTATTTTTGGGAATTAAATAATAAATAGTAAATTTAGGTTTTAGCAAAAAAAAATTTTCACTTTTGAAAAAAGCCAAAGCTTTTTAAAAAAAGACAAAAAAATCTCTCAACTTTCAAATCAAAGACATGCAAATGTAAAGGATTCCTTAGGAAATTCAAAAATAAATAAGGGTAATTTTGTCTATTTTTACTTATTTTACAAAATTTCTATCTCCTTTGTGTTTTTCCAAAGTCTCCCAAAATAAATTCATTAAAGGCTCATCTCTCATTCTTTTGAAAGCAACTTTGAAAAGTAACCAGAGCGTGCTTTTAAAAGACCATTGCTTTTAAAATAATCGGGATATTATATTTTTACCAAACGTCATAAAATGCTTAACTTTAAAGTGAAACATATTTTTGACCCAAAAAAAGCAAATACCAAACGGGAAAACCCTCATAATCAGTGGCGGATCTAGGATTCAAAAGTCAGGTAGGCGAAACTTACTTTAAAAACTTGACGGTACGAATGAATTCCATTCATAAAAATAAAAAGATACACCTAGTCGGGGAGAGCGTAATGAGATTTACCCTCATATATAAAAACTTAACCAAAAAAAAAAAAGTAAAAAAACAAATTAATGCAATGCAACAAAAAACTAAACTATTTAAATCTAAAACTAAATTAAACTATTAAAAAACTTAAGATGCGTACATTTATTTTAGGAAAAACCCAATAGAAGAATACTTATTGACCTTAGATATGAGAAAATGCTACCAAAAGAGAATGTCCAGACTCAAGAAGAAGTTGCAAAAGATAATTATTTGAGACTGTCGACTATTGCACAGTCGAAAGGGAATTGGCTGCTTACTTATATTGCTTCCCCCCCTTTTCTTTTTTTTAGTTTGACTGAGAGTTATAATATGTGGGTTGCTCTTAAGTTTGGGTAGGCATGAGTTCACAGTATTACATGGTATGGATAGGAGTGGCTTTGCTTACATAGAGGTTTTTTTTTTTTTGTGTGAAAAAATTTGGGTAGGCATGTAGAACCGCTACTGCTCATAATGACAATACTTACGAAAGTCTTAATGAGCCACTTAAAAGACAAAATAATCATAATAATCATAACTTTACCTTTAAAACAATTGTGCCAAACTTCCACTTTATCTCTGCTTGGAAAAAGAACTTCCACTTATTAATTAACAGTTGAAAATTCATATGCCCGTAAAGTAAACTACAGTGCGAAGCAAACGCAAGAAACAAGTCCTTCTCGTACTAACTTGCCAAACGTCAATTTTTACTATTCTTTAATTAATTATTTTTAAAAAAGCTTGAAAATAAAGAAAAAATAAAATCCCATTTTTATTGTAAGTATATGTGTATTTTTTATATTTCCATTTTGGGAATGGCAAGCATCTCATCACCATTTTTTATTTGCATGTCTTGTTTTTTTTTTTTTTGGTGTCAAAATATTGCGCGTCTTATGTTGCAGAGCACGTGAGGAAATGACTAAAAGTAGTAGTAGGCTAGGGAAGCAAATGCTTTAGTTCTCCCACTTTCTTATAATATCATTTGCCTTTGATGGTGTGACATTTAAACATAAATATACGTATTATTATAATATGAACGGTGTTATTAATATTTAAGGACTTATGATAATATATATAATTTATTTATATTAATAACACCAGATAACAGTTTGAAACTCAAACAAAAATATTTTCACCAACAAAAAAATAATTGGTGGGGGTTTTATGCACATGGATCGATTTGGATCTTATCTACTATATATCACATGTCCTTTATGCCTTTTAGCGAAGAAAATGTTGACATTATATTGGCAGTAAAACGAGAAAAAACATGTCATGCCGTTATTTTTCAACCCAATGTCACATCTTTATTGTTACAGCAACTTGCAAGGACCAAAATTAGTGGGAACGTACAGAAAAAAATTGACTTGCTAACATCCCCCTTAACTCTAAAATGATAACTGATGGCCACATAATTTCAGTGGGGACAGAACATGACAATTAAAGAAGTAGAATCAATTGTCTGCAATGTGCTTTTCAATCATAATTATAAAATGTGTGTGGTCTCTTATTATATATGCATTGAATTGTTTTACTATTAAAAACATTTAGAGCATACAAAGGTAAAATACGAGAATTCGTCAACATGATGTGATACGTGGTGTTACGGTTCTTTAATCTTATCTGTTTTATTTATTACATCGATCAAATTATATATTTTTATAAAATACTAATAATATACATGATATTACAATGAGTGAATCCGAATCACTCTATAATTATGAATTGAAATATAAAAATAGTGCAAACAATGATTATTCCTAAGATGATTTGACCCCTCCGACAAAGAAAAGAAATAGAAAAAGAAATCCAATGCCACCCTGTGCAAGTGCAGCCACTTATTATCATTATTTTATGTGTTATACCCAATTGCCATTATTCTCAAAATTACAATTATGCCCCAAATGATTCATAAAGATCCGATCTTTCTGTGTAATACACGACTCTCTCCCGTGCCTGTACTAATCTCTCTCTCTCTCTCTCTCTCTCTCAGTTTTTGCTCCGAGCTTTCTCCATCTTCTCCACTTTGCCTTTCATTGCTCTTATCTTTCTGATTTCGAACCACTCGAAAAACGCTTTCGTTGCTCTGTACTTGCTTTCTGTGTCCGAAGCATACCGTGCTAGGCGCTCTCGCTTTGTTCTGTTCAAGGCGGTGTTCGTTGATGGTCATCTAAGTTTCTTCATCAACCGGTGTTCGAAATTCACTTTCGGTAATTCGATTTTCTCGCAATATGTATTATATGAATGCTTGTATATACGTGTACTTTTATTCTTGGATTCGTGCTTTGTTTGGTTGCCCAGAATCCGGAAGAAAATACGAGCGAAATGAGATTCGAAGCCATGTGTTGTACTTCGCTCGGTGAATTAGTTTCACTTTGATTTTATTCGGAGCCTGGAAGCTGAGATTGCTGGAGTTGAGCTCGAATCTGTATTCGTTTATTTTACGAGTTTTTGTAGGCAATCAAACAGAGCATTATTTGAAAGTTTATTTTTTATTTTTTATTATTAATTTTTTTTATTTTTTGTACTGCTATATTTTTATTCATTATTCTGTTGGAATTGTTGCTTCTGAGATTTCTTTTACAAGAGCCGCTTATCTTTTCTTTGTTCCTCACTCAGAAGCTTAATTTTTCTGCTAGAAGAAGTAGTATAAATCATTCAACATTATCTTGATTTTTTATGCAAATTAGTTATTGTGATTATTTTGTCTATTTTGATAAGTTAAGTTTAGCTGGTGACATCCGTATCAGCTGATGTCCTGATACTTAAAGTTGGCCGTTGGCTTGTTTGTGTGGAGTGTAGACTTGGTCAAACTGGGCGGTCTATGATAATATGGTGCGCATGAGGAGGGTATAATCTACACTAGAGTCAATGAAAATTTCTTAAAGCACTCTAAGAATGTTAGGTTTATTGTAAATTATGTTTGGGTGGCTTATGCATGCACCTTATCAGAGGCACAAGGCGATTGAATTCTCTGATATGCGGTTGAAAGAGGGGATATATGATTGAAAAAAATAGAACAGAAAGAGAATAGCCCTATGAGAGGTCAGGTGAAATTATGTGGAAATGTTGTGTGGTCTAATCTATATTTCCGTGGAACAAATCTTTCTTGACTCATCTATATATACATATATTATGTGCATATATTGAACTGAGCTGAGTTTAGTTGCTCCACTGCATTCAGATTATGTATGACAATGATACTTCAAATTATACAATATAAAAAAAGTTTCCTTTTTTTGTTTTGTTTTTAATGATGTATATAAGTTATTGGCCAATTACTTGGGTTTGGAGCCAGAAGAATTAACGTACAATCCTCATTAGCATTGCTCAGGCTGGGAGAAAAACGCTGGTTGTATAGGCAACCTCTCTGGTGGACAATAATAATTAGAATTGTTAGTATTTGTATCTTCCGTGGTAATTTTCACTTCATCTTCTTGTTTTGCTAATGCAGGCGGCTATTAATTTGTAGTCAGAAATGGTTGCCTTTGGGAAAAAGCTGAAGGAAAGACAAATTCGAGAATGGCAGGGGTATGTTTGGTCTATCCTCACTTATTGAAGTATGCATCATTAGTATAGGATTCATTGTGACAGAATTTTGAGTTTTCTCTTGTGGAAGGGGTAAAGGAATAAAAGAAAGGGTCTAAATGATGGCAATCTTTGATGACAAGCATGTTGTTGCGTTATAACCTGATTCTTAATTGGAAATCCTGCAGTGCTGTTAAATAAGCGTTAATACATCATATGTTATTTGTTTATGGATTTTCTTGTTGTTAGACCATTAGATTATCTGTCGTATAACCAATGGTGTAGAGGATAAATGATTTTATGGGAGTAATCTGTGTGGGCATATAGATTCTTTTGGTTGACACACTCATACACACAATCTGTGTCATCATTAATAACAGTAAACGACTTAGAGAGCATTGGGGTTTGTGTTTTTGGATGGTGTCACTTATCTAGTACCCAGATTTATGGTACCATTAATATGGTAAGAAACAATATGTGTCATATATATATATGGTATCACTGATAAAAAAGGATTGGTATTGTACATGCATATGTGTAGATATGCCTATCATGTCAATGCCATTGTACAATATTTCTCCATTTATATTCTAAATTCCTATGGTTGTCTGCCCATACCTTGTTTCATCCAGGTATTACATCAATTATAAACTTATGAAAAAGAAAGTAAAACACTATGGTCAACAAATTCAAGATGGAACACTAGACCGGAGGCATGTCCTAAAGGACTTTTCAAGAATGCTGGATAATCAGGTATGTGGGTCATCCATGCTTGTTTATAAATACTATAATGGTGAATATGTGTATGTACCCCAGCACTCACAATCACATTTAGAGTCAATATATGCATCTGTTTTTTTATTATT